CCCCAAAACCCCAAAACCCCAAAACCCCTTAACCCTAAGATAAGCGAAAGAGTGTGTTTTGAATTGTGTAATAAAATTAAATAGCTTATCTATCTATAAGGACATAATTACCGATGGCATTATAAGTGCACACTTTGCAGAAACCAGCGATACTTACTAACTTAAATTCATACAAGCCTTCTCAATTACTTAACTAATAATGAGACTACTTATTGGATTCTCATCTTCGAATTAAACCCATAGATTTCTAAGCGTGATAGGAGGGAGTGGAAAACTTTTTCTTTACCAAAAGATCACCTTGGCCTTTATCGCCTTTAATACTTTTTCTTTTATCTTCAGGAGACATCTCACCAAGGGCTGCCATTCTGCTTAAGCTATTGACATATCCGATATATTGAGCTTCCTGTTGAATTAAGTAATATTATTGGGGCCCGAGAATAGAACCTGGACGAGCGATTCTTATCCAGCCAATAAATGCTGCTGCTGGAAATTTAAAATGCTTCATTGCGTAGCAACCTATTAAGGTTCCTGTACGGCCTAGACCAGCTTTACAATGCACAGCAGTTACGCCTTTTTCAGCCTCAACTAGTTTCAAGAAATCTTATACAATGTTCTATTAAATATATTAGCACAGCAATTTTAAATTACCTCAGGGGGTGTTGAACCATCAATAAAGAACAAGTCAGTGTGTTTAATACCAGCTTTGACAAATTTCATTCTATCATATTTAGCCTCATTTAATCTGATGACATGAGTCACATTGAAATGCTTGAATACTTATAGATAATCCTCCGGACTGTTACCTCTTCTTTCAATTTTCTGATCAATGGGTCCCATGAAAGCAATGAATTTATTCGGGATGATCCAATTTAAATCTCCGTTCTCAACTTTCTCATAGTAATCATACTCTTTTGGGTCAAAGTCCTTAAATTGATACCAGCCCAATTTGATTGCATATTCAAGTCCCTTTAAGCAATGCAAAATCTAATAAAGGAAGTATTTAGCTAATGATGAGAATTTATTAGTTAAACTTACAGTACATTCATACTGGCAATCACCATAAGATGCATCTCTGAACGGGATGATTTAGGATTAATATGGACTAAAATGCTCCCAGGCTACTTCAGCTGATTACCTTAACACTATAATCATGAATGCTCCCATTAAGAAGCAGCTGTTTGCTTGCTTGTCGAACTTGCTTGAAGTATAATGAAATATCTTAACATCTGCGTATTATGGATCCTACCGCAACATTATTAGTTTGAATTTAAGTTTAATTGATCTTACTGTTAGCAATCTGACAAGTTCCCTGACATATTTATGTGTTTTTGAGAGACTTAATGGTCCAAAGTCTTTGTGAAATGGTTCATAAACTAATTCCTATAAAATCAAGGTAAGTTCAATTTTGTTTGGGCAGGATGAAATCTAAGAGGTTTTCATTTACATTGTCAATATTGAAGTAGTAAGCTTCTGATGAGCTAGTGGGGGGTCTGCTTCCAGAGATCCAATAAAGTTTGTCTATCAAAATAGTATTAGGCTGAGGCTTCATAGATGAATATGAACTATACCTTTAATAATTTCAACTGCGGGTAGGTCAAGTGAACTTCCAAACATATTCAACTGTTCAAATTTAATTTTGAGAGTAAGTGATGTTTCCTATTTAGAGTTAATTAAAAATTATTTGTTAAGTTTAAGAAATTATTAAAATAAGGAACATTTCGCATTGTGTATACATATAACAATCATTAAACTAATAATTTAATTTATTTACATAAGAATGGCTCAGATAGTTGCTTAGAAAACAGGCGTTGAGATACCCTTCGATCTTAATAAGATCTTTTCTCTCACATACGAATTCCAACCTTTGAAAGAGGTCCTTGAGCATATCTATGGATAGCTTAAGAAGAATTCAGATGACACACATAAAGTAGATACCAAATTAGTCTCAAAAATGCTACTGTTAGACAAGTAAAGTTAAAGAGAGTAAAATTCTTATAGATTGAAAAATGAAAATGAAGACTTCAAGAAGGATTTTATAACAATCAAAGTAAATAATATAATAAGATAAAAAAGAACTATAGAATGTGAATAAAGAGCTAGAATAAAAGAGTTGCGCTCATGATGCAGATTTATCAAGCTTGAAATCTGATTCTGAAACTTGCAAGATGAACATTTCATTAATCAATCGTTAGATAGGTTCTCTTCCAGGTAGAATGACAGATGGTAATAATAAATATATATTTAAATTGTTTTTAGCCGAGGATAGATTGGATGAACTAAGCAAAAGAATAGAATAAATGACTGGTGGAGTAGATTCATCAGTAATGAACGATTATTTGAAAAGGCTCGAGAAGGTCGAAGATCAATCAGGTAAAAATAATAAAATAATCACAGAATGGCATCCTCACTGGATTTAAATGCTTAAGGATATTGAAGATCTAAAGAAAAACATGGTCACTACTGATATTTTTGATGCAGAATTGGAAAACTTGAGAAACCTAATCAATCAATTAGCTGGAAAAGATATTCAAGTTCCAACCTCATCTGGTGCTAGCATCAGTAACAAAGAATTAGCTGATATTAAGGAAGCAATAAAGAAAGTATGGGAACATGAAGAGAAGCTTAAGGGCATTGATCTTCACAGTCTTATGAGGAAAATTGAGAAAATCTAAGATGAACTCAAATAAAAAGCTGATAAATCAGATATTTTGAGATTAGATTACGATAAGGCAGATAAAATATATGTCGATGGAGAATTCAAGAAGATTTACAAGGACTTAGAAATGCTAAAGGATTGGTGTGCTAAACTTGAAGAATATATGGCTAATACTGGTAAAGGAAGTTCCACTGTTACTGATGCTCAATTCGCAATGCTTGTTAAAAGAGTTGATAGACTCGAGGAAAGACTTATGACTTTGTAAAAGTAGCAAACAATGCAAAGTTCAGCTGGTTTTGCTGAAACAAGAGAGTCAATTGGAGATGAAAATGTTTTCAGAGATCTGAATTCTAGATTGAATGCAATGCAAGCTGAAATCGATCATTTAAAGAACGAGTTTGCAAAGTGGGTCAAAGAATTTCAAGATAGTCTTAACGGCAAAGCTGACCTCGAAGCATTAGCTAATCTTGAGAGAATCTTACAAGATAGAATATCTGAAGTTGTTAAAGGACTAACTAAGTAGCTAGCAGATAAAAACGATACAAAGAAAGCACTAAAACTATTAGAGAGACAACTCAAGAATCTCTATGATCTATTTATGTCAAGAGGTGGTCATAATGATAACGAAGATGACGCTATGTTTACCAAAAAGCCACTTGGCGGTATGTCATGCGCTTCCTGCGAGAAAGATATCATTAATCTTCAAGGAAGAAAGGCCGATTATCTTCCATGGGGTAAATTCCCTTTCAGAGACCCATCAGAGAGAATAGCCAGAGTAAGCATTTTAAATTGTTATAAAAATATTTTAGGTTGGCCAAGGTTTCTCTAAGATGCTATCGATGATCAATCCTGATACCTTATCAAGATTTGATAACAATGGCCGCTTCAACAGCATTCATGCTGGTCATCATGCTTAAAATCACTTAAGCTAAAAAGGTTCACAAGAGAACTTTTACAACAATCACCACGAAGAGATGGATGATCATGTCCCAGCAAGTACTTTCCCTCAACCTAAACCAGGAACAGCTGGCAAGACAATGAACAACTTCTATCATGCCTAATAAATGCAAGATATGAATAAAAGACCAGGATCTGCTCAAGTAGTCCCTAAACCTAGAGTCGTAAGTACTTTAACAACTTAACCCTATTATAGAAAAACAATTTCAACAAAAGCGGTGCTAAAAAGTGAAATTCAAATATAAAATCGAGATTTTATTTTTTACTTAATAGCTATATACTTGTTTAATCTCCTTGGGGTTTTGGGGTTTTGGGGTTTTGGGGTTTTGGGG